TTCCACCGCAGTACCTCAAGAGGTTGAAGCTTACCAAACGGCTTCTGGTGTTCATTCTTCACCTTCAGGAGTCACGACAAAAGACACACAAAAACAATGTCCTTCCTCATTCCATGAAACACTGCCCTGGTTCTTCTCCAAAAGCTCATTCTCGACTCTCATAGTCTCAATTTTCGAGAAGTGCATCTTAAAACAAGGAAGTCACCTTCAAATCTCGAAACTTAAAGGTGTTAATTTGTGTTGAAAAACCAGTTTTAAGCTAAGACAGTATAAAAATATTACAACATAACTATGTTATAACTTATAACTCATTTTGTTTTATAATTGTGTAGCATATCCTCAAATCGGCACTAGTTCATAATCTATCTATCCATAATATAATATAAAAGTTATCCACTAGAATTGCTGTAACATTTATTTTAGATTTTATTTTTTAAATTCTCTCAAATTATAACTTCATATTTTTCTCTCTCTTCCTGTTTTTTTCTTCTTGATATCTTTTATAATTTTTTTTTTATAATGGGATGAAAGTATCAGTTCGATCCTTTTAATTACCGTTTTAAGAGGGATTTAAAGCCTTAATCTCGGGACCCGTCCCGAATCAGACTAGTCCCGAAACGATGAACCGATTAGAATATCTCCAACAAAATTATAATGAAGTTATTATTACAGTTAATTTACTTTCATACTAGATTTTGATTATTGATTTATTTGTATTTAATGACTCATACATCTAATAAATTAAAATTATTAAATATAAATAAAATCAACAATTAAGATTAAGATTAAAAGTATAACTTATTCTGTTTTAAAATAATCATGGTCCAATTTATATAAAATCACCTTGAATTAATAACACTAATATTATTAATTTTAAATCAATAACTTTTTGAAGTTATAAATACGGCAATGTAACATCCCCGTCTCGAGCCGGTTCAATTAACATACACATGATATAAACAGAAACAACGGAAGACTTAACTTCTGAAAATACGAGCTAACTTTTTCTTTTTCTTTTTAAATTCTCATTCGTCGTAAACGAAAATCGGGCAGAGTTTCCTCTATAAATCGGACAACTGGGGATTTTCCAATCCCACACAGAAGCATTTCCTGATAAACAGTTTATACAAATATAATCAAATGCCCATTCATGGGCGCATGCATAAATTGGCTCAGTGCCACTATATCTAACAGCATGCAATCCAACACGTAAACACATCTGAATACTACCTCATCATATAACGTGCCTGAATACCCAAATGTACATGCATCAAAGCGACAGACATGTACAAAACATATACAGGCCATATACATAATAAAGGATCAATATAATGATCCATCAAATGCTAAAATACTAAAAGACATCAAACACTCCAAAAAGGTAGTAGCCTACAACCACTCAAAATCCGATCTGTCAACTGCCTCAGCCACGTGTCGTATCCCTGCCTAGTGAGGACTCACCGAGAATCTGGGCACCTGAAAATATGTCCCCAAAGAGGGGTGAGATTACAAATCTCAATAAGCTCCAGGTTTATAGAGAATTCTCCATACCCCTGGCTCACTCCTGCATGAAAGTCAGATACAAAGTATACGAATACAACATATAACAGATATCATAACAGAACAGAGCATATATCCATATCATATCAGAGATGTGCGCCGTCATTCCCAAGGGAGGACCCCAAGCGGAAATCAACGCACGTGTTCCCGAGGGAGGACCCCAAAGCGGAACCAGACATATCAGAGGCGTACACCATCAGTCCCGAGGGAGGACCCCAAAGCGGACGTCCGGGTACTATACAATCAATGGCCAAAGATTGTTACAAAAATCATATTACAGAAGTCATATCAGAGCAAAACATATCATGTTATCAAATAACTCTATATGAATGCATCTATACAAAGCATCTAAATAACAGTCATACAGTCCAACCATAGTTCACTAACCATGGTGGAGCACTCAAGCCGGAAAAGACTCCTTAAACATAGAGCTTACCTCTTGAAGCTTTACCAATACGCTTACTTGTTGCACAAGTTACTTATATGTCTTCAAGAGATTCCGATCCTTTTTAGTCCCTAGGTACACATAGATCAAGAATCCACAAATCCAAAATCAATAAAATGTCATCATGCCTAGCTTTCACAGAAGGCATACATTTTATCGCTTATATTCATTTCTTTATATTTTTGCCAATCCTATGCCAATACACAAGTCTAGACCACCTTATACTCGTTAGCGTTCTTTAATTTAATCAAGTGTTCACTTGAGAATTCTCCAATATAATTCTTGCCACTTTCCTTAAAAGGCCGTGGACCTACCTAGAGGAGAACAAAATATCTTTCAACGATTTTTAATTCATTTCACTTTCTTTAACTCATTCATTTTATACATTGCATTACAACACATTTTATTAAAATAAGATGTGACAAAATGTCCCCTATACTACCCTCTAGGTCGAACACTATAAGGAAAAGACAAGGGCTCTTTTCTTATTAATTACATGTAACTTACACATACAAATGTATGTTTCCATATTGTTCTAACATAATGTTTGAACATCAAGTCCCTCACCACTCTCCATAGCCGAAACATAGGGAATCAAGACACAAAGGATTTTTCCCACTTTGGCCTTTACACTAATTTACCAAATTCATACACACTCCAACACATTAGACACTCTAAATATATCAAATAAAATTTTGCACAATGCACCCTATGTGACCCATCATGGCCGAAGCATAGAGGAGGGCATAATGTTTTTTTCTAATTTTTTACATACATATTAACACTTATTTTCATTTCCTAAATCCAAAACATCAAGGATTCATCATCAATCAAAGTTTAACACACAATGCTTTACCACCAAAGCATATTCATAATTTTATAACTTAAATAATCAAGACACTACCATGAAAATAGAGGTTTGTTACCTCTAATCAACTACCAAAGCCTAGAAGACACATCTCCAAGCAAGGCTCCTTCAAAAATGCACCTTTTCTTCTTTGATGAATAGTGTCACGAAAATGAGATGACCAGTATCTCTCTCCACACACGAAATCAGCTCAAACGGAGGGGTGGACTAGCTTCCTTGGACGATTTCCTATGAGATTGGTATATTGGGTGGAAGATTTGGTGGCTTAACCATGGAGAAATCAAAGAAAGAAGAAGACAACCCCAAACCCTTCCCCCATGGCTGCAGCTCAGTTTTGAGAGTGAGGAGAGGAGAGAGAAACTGATTTGGAAATGAGACTTAAGTGACTTAAGAAGGTGAGCACATGTGGCCTTTTACCCGGGTATTTTTCTTTCGCGTATTTTCACTTAAACTAACCCGGAACTAACTCAAAGCTACAAATATATTTTTATTTTTCTAAAGTCATTTACATTACTTTTATTTTCTAAGGAACACTATTCATAATTCGCAGTGTGGTTTCTGCACCGTTTTTGACGAAATGCACAGTGAACCACTAACTGTACTTCGTTTACTTCTGAACTTAAAACTTATTAACTTATCATTTCCTTGGGCCTATATTGACTTGTTTGGCATATATTGGACTTTCTTATTCTTATTTTATCAATTATTTATTTCTGGACTCTACCGGTTGCTTAAACAGCGGTACAAATACCCGGTAGAAACACTATTCACGGAAAATGCCAGACTATACAATTTTTCGTTCTGAACTCATATTTGACGTCAGAATTGTCAAATTATGTCTCTAAAATCATTTTTAATCATTTAAGCTCTACCGGTAAATTCACAATTTGCAAATTCTCCGGCAGAACGCACTGTTCATAACATAGTCATGATTACAGTCAAGATACTCGAAATCGTTCACTGAATCTAATTATGGCATTTAAATCCTTAAATTAAATCTCTAATTAAGATTTACCATTTAGGGTCATTATAGGCAACATATAGTTTTATTGTTTTAATATTATGCAACTATTTTTTTTTTTTTTTTGATAAATCACATGTATTTTTTGTGGAAGGTAATTTTATTTAAGAAGGATCTATGATTAAGACTTTAAATTTTTTCCAAAAAATAATATTAAAAAGAATTGAACTTATATTCTCATGTCACTCTCTCAACTCCTACACGTTAAGTGAGCTTGCAACTAAATTTTAACTTAGTCAACTCAGTTATTTTCTACAGATCTTGAATTTTGTACTATATAAATATAAATCTAACCCTGTGGTTCCTAGGACAAAATTGTTCAATCACGGGTTGAACTCTTTTTCCTCTTTATAAATGCAATGCATTTTGGTTACCAAAAAACAAAATAAAAATGCAATGCATTTTTCCCTATTGCGCCGAAGTGCTCTATTTAATCTAGTGTGCGTTGATCCTTTCCAATCAATAATTCAAGTGTTGAACATGAATCACGGGTTCTTTATTTATTTATTATTTATTTTAATTTAGTTGTTTACCTCACAAATTGATAATGGCATTTATGTTACTAAAAAAATGTTTTCTGAATAATTTCTTAGGATAGTTTATCCTACATATTATTTTTCTGTCTATTTTTATCTATCACTCTAAAAGATCATTAGATTAGAATCTTAATTGACATATATCTTTCTCTTTCTTCTTTAGATTCTGATCTAATAATATTTGAAGAGTGATAGACAAAAATAAAGAAAAAATAATAAATAAAATAACATCTCCCTAATTTCTTATGCTCTATTCCCTTCCAAGAATGCCAGGACAAATTATATGCCTTTGGATTTCATGAAAATTTTCATGCCTTGAAGAGATATTTATTTGACTCTATTTTTCTGCCAACAGGGTATTTTATTAGCAGCCTTATTAATTCAGTATGTGGAATATTATATAACAAGTCTGTGGGGGCATGCTCACTTCGGCAATTGTGTAAAGACAAAGTTTTATCAAAAGTCTCAAACCAATCATCTTTTAACGTGATCAAGACTTTTCAATTTTCATGGCTCAAATAGTTCGGTAGTTGATAAATCAACTTTCAGGAACAAAAAAGAAGAAAAATCACAGCTGACGACTTGACCTGTGTTGAAGTCTTCCTCTTATCCGAGTCCAATGTTCATTAAAATACCCGGTTCTTAGTGTTCAGAGATGCAATAGTCATAGCTGAAAATAATCATCAAGCACTGATTTTCCATGGCAACTCTTCAGCTCCTCAAAACACAACACTCTCTGTTTGTGCTTGTTTTTCTTCTTCAGTTCTCATCACTGTTGTTCCCCTCACACGGGTACAATCTTCCAGATAAGTACTTCATCAATTGTGGATCAGATGTTGATGTTACTGAAAGTGGTCGCGTTTACGTTGGAGAATCAAACCCAATAGCCAGCTTTAGCAGCAGCAACAAAGAAAGCACACAGTCATCAGTGCCTTCTCCTCTCTACCAAACAGCAAGGATTTTTCGAAAACAATCTTATTATGAGTTCAGTGCCGACACAAATGGGACCTACCTGGTACGCCTTCATTTCTTTGCTTTCACTTCCCAATCTAACCTATCCTCGGCTAGGTTCAATGTTTCGGTTCCTGGGTTTTGGTTGTTGCAAAATTTCAATGCCGGAAATAATAGCAACTCTGCTTTAGTAAAAGAGTTTTTCATGAAAATCACAGACCACAGATTCAAAATCATTTTCACACCACTGGCACAATCATTTGCGTTTGTGAATGCTATAGAACTCTTCGTACTCCCTCTCTATTTGATCTCCGATCTTGTCTCAAGTTTCACTTACGGCACTCAGAGAAACTTAACTAGTTACAATGGCTTGCTCTCGCATGCGTTGGAGACCAAACACAGGCTTAACGTTGGTGGAGAAAATGTCACAAGGAGCAACGATAATTTATTGAGAAACTGGTTTCCAGATGATAGTTATCTCAGTAATCCAGGAAACGCGGAGAATAGTTCATACTCGGGTCAAATTAAGTACCATGTAGATGATAACTCTGATGGTCCAAACTCAAATCAATTTACTGCGCCAAGAGAAGTCTACCAAACTGCTAAAGTGATTAATAACAATTCTTCCAGTGCAGGAGGCTCTAACCTTTTAAACATAACTTGGGGTCTTCCTGTGGACAATAATACATATCATCTTGTTCGGCTTCATTTCTGTGACTTATGGAATATACAGCCTGGTCTTACAACCTTCAATCTGTCCATTTATGACAGCCTTGTTACGGTGGTCAATAGTGACATAAACGTGTATAACCAGTTGCCTGCACCTTATTATTATGATATTGTGGTTCACTCTGATGATTCTGGGCTCATAAAGATCAGTGTAGAACCTAATTTAGCATCTGCTCATGGACCGTATGCTTTTCTAAACGGGCTTGAAATAATGAAACTGATTGATTCATCAGAAATAATTGTTCCCCTTGACGAATCCAAGCATAATCTTCTTCCAGTGGTGCTGGGTTCAGTTGCTGGAGGTTTAGTCCTGCTTTCTGTCGTGGTAGTTGGGTTTCTTTGGTGTCTTAAATTCAGGAATCAAAGGCCTGTTGAGAATTCAGATTGGTTGCCAATTCCAGTTAATGCAGGAGGGAGTTCTCACAGCAGATTGACTGAGGGAACCATCCAAGGCTCCCCTCTCCCAAACATAAATCTTGGGCTGAAAATTTCCTTGCATGATCTTCAATCGGCAACAAAGAACTTCGATGCGAAGCAGATTATTGGGAAGGGTGGTTTTGGCAATGTCTATAAGGGGGTTCTCAAGAATGGGATGAGAGTGGCTGTGAAAAGAAGTGAGCCAGGGTCAGGTCAAGGCCTTCCAGAATTTCAGACAGAGATCATGGTTTTGTCCAAGATTCGTCACAGGCACCTTGTTTCCTTAATTGGGTATTGTGATGAAAGGTATGAGATGATACTGGTTTATGAGTACATGGAAAAAGGGACACTCAGAGACCATTTGTACAATACAAATTTGCCAAGCTTGTCTTGGAAGCAAAGGCTTGAAATTTGTATTGGAGCTGCCAGAGGTCTTCATTACCTTCACAAAGGAGCAGCTGGGGGAATCATTCACCGTGATGTAAAGTCAACCAACATATTGCTTGATGAGAACCATGTGGCTAAAGTTGCTGACTTTGGCCTTTCAAGGTCAGGTCCTCTTGATCATCAACCATATGTCAGCACAGGTGTTAAAGGCACTTTTGGGTATCTTGATCCTGAGTATTTTAGGTCGCAACAGCTGACAGAAAAATCTGATGTTTATTCATTTGGGGTAGTTCTTCTGGAAGTGTTATGTGCAAGACCAGCCATAGACCCGTCTCTTCCAAGGGAGCAGGTGAACTTGGCTGAGTGGGGAATGCTTTGCAAAGACAAGGGGATACTCGATGAGATCATTGATCCTTCCATCAAGGGCCAAATAGATCAAAACTCACTCAGGAAATTTAGTGAGACAGTTGAAAAATGCTTACAAGAAGATGGTTCTGATAGGTCATCCATGGGTGATGTGTTGTGGGACTTGGAGTATGCGTTGCAGCTTCAGCGAGGTGCAATACATAGAGAGCCACATGAGGATAGTTCTAGCAGTGCTTCTGCATCAATTCAATTGCCTAATGTTCGGCGTCTTCCCTCCCTCTCCACACTAAGTGAAATGGATGACTTTTCCATAGTGAGAGGTGATGAATCCGACAGTGCAGTGGATTCAGTTTTCTCGCAGTTGAAAATTGATGACGCCAGATAGAATATCAAGCCTTTCAAGGCACAATAAAGTATTCTCAAGTGTCTGAAGTGGAGTAGCAGGTTTTTAGATAGCTTGCTTAGCTGTTTTGATCTTTCTTTTTTTTTCTTTTTCTTTTCCCCCAAGTTATGATTATCTGTCTATTCTCGATTAAATAAAGTTATGAAAGAAATTGTAAGATAAATGATGATTAGTCTATTCCCGATGTTTGCAATAGATTATTGATAACTAGATACATTAAATGCAGCACTTGTTTGAATGCTTACCCCAATGTATATACTCTTCACTGCGGCCAACAATGCTACGTCTCAGTTTTCTTTACTTTTTTTGAGTATCAGTGGCATGCAAATCACCTTGTACAAGGGAGAAGAGCGTTGCATTGTTGGCCTTGCAGTTGGCCTTGCAGCTACTAAATACATTTCCTTACTATCCTCTGTACCAGTAACTAGAACGCCAGTGTTATGAATGCAAACCAGTCCCAATTCATTGAACACAAACTGGGTACATATTTATGTGAAAATGCAATACATCTCTTTTGGGCTCACCTATGTGATATTATTAATTATTATGTGAAAATGCAATACATCTTTAATAAGCGGATCAGATACTATGATGACTTTAACCAACGTGAACAATTTTTTTTTTCTAAAACTATATGGAACAAGAATGTGCAAGTTTTCTTCCTATCCTTCTGGAAATCATTCTAGAGTGGAGTTCATGTTGAATTGAAATGAAGAGGATCTGACTTTTCATAATTTCATCGAATCTACACTAGAAAGTTTTAGTTGTAGTTGAATTCCGTAACTCTCCTTTGGGGAACAGATTGACGGAGGATAGTCCTTTGACTTAGGACCGCAAGCATGGACCTAATTTGATTTGCAAACCGAAGGTTGGATCTCATAAAAGCTAGTCAACATCCTTGTCATATTTGGTAACCAACTACAAGTGCTGTAAATTTTTTTCTCCTAAAGAATAGAAAATTAGCCATGGCAAGTACAATTGATATACCTGAAAGCTTATCTACTGGGGAAAATGTAACCCATTTGATTTTGATGGGTTTGGCGGTTTGCTTAGTCTCTTACTCATTTGAATTACCGGTTACACTGCAGCACATATGGCACTCAGCTTGATCCATGTATGTACTTGATTTCTACCCCTACGCCAATAAAGCTGAGGTTCAACTCGGCAAGGCCTGGTGTAGGTCAGAGTCAGGTCAAACCATAATGTTTGGACTGATAAGGGTAAGTAAAAAGAGTTGCGGGGATTGTTGGTGTGGCCAACATAGTATCTTGGCTCATAGTAAATGCTTGATGGAATGTGTATTTGTCTTGTTACTGTACCAAAAAAAAAAAAGTCTTATTACTGCCGCATAGTGGTGGCACCTACTTCAAGAGATTACAACATTAGTATTTGTCTATGGAGTGCTCAGAGTTTTTACATCATCAGATACATGTTGAAATTCGCAACTTGACTTTTTAATTAACAGTTAAACTAATGAAGTTAACTGTAAAAATCAATTTTAGCAATAAGAACAAACTATTGAGAGCTTGAACTCTCAATAAACTTATATACTACCAATGCGATGACTAGTGTTCATCATTTTCCAAGCTTACAAACTGTTATACAATGTGCCAAATTTGATTTTTTTTCCCCCAACATACTTTTGTTCTGCTAAAAAATCAACACCTAAAAACCTTATAGACAGAAGTTGTACTTCCCATATATAATTCATGTACAAAGATGCTCTATCATATGAATACAACCGTAAACCAGTAATAGTCATAAACTGAAACGTTGTGTTAGTGACCTGCACCTCTTCTGCTTGGCCCCGAAGACATGGTGTGGAATTGGTTCTCAATCAAAACCCTGCTGCTCATATTATCCTCAGTGTTTGCCTTCTCTGTTGTCACTGAAGTCATGGGAAATTGAAGCTCTTTTGCAGGTTCATGAGTGGCCTTCTCTGTCTTTATTGATGAAAGAAGGACTCTACAGTTTACAAGCCTTGGCCTTGTCAAGAAAACCAGCATCATGAGGACCACTAGAAGTGAAACTGAGAGCCTCATTCTTGAGTTGGCACAAGTGTTCATGCTCCTTCAAGGCTTCAACCCTTTGGTGATGAAGTACCTTGAAGAAGTAGTGTTTATTCTCAAAGAAACTGGTAGAGCTAAAATTATTGGTTTGGCATCTCTTAATGGACAAGTCAAGGGCCTTTACATATTAACGAGGAACATGCATGGGCAAACAAAATGGACGGTTAAGGGCTTTCTCGTGTGGGACCTATTGAAGGGAGTTGTTGACTGAAACTGTTTTATGGTAATAATCAGGCGCAGTCATCGCTAGCCAATTCCACTCTTCCCATTTGAGATTGTCCAAAACTTGACTTTATAATTTATTCAGTGACTTTCACGGTATGACTTGAAGTAGCGGTATAGTTGTTCTTTTTTATGGTTACTATTTCAGCCAGGCCATAGCATATGGTCCTTATTGTCGGAAATTTTCTTTTCTTCTACACAGTTCATCATCGTACACACACAATGGTTAAACAATGCCTCAATGCAAATTGAGGTTTTAGCTAACGATTTTTGGCTCATTCTCTATCTCTCAGTCATGATTATAAGATATTCTCCCTCTTATATAAATTCCTCGGATTTTGTATGCATTTATAAGTTATTACTTTGCTGATTTTAGAGTCACTATAGCCATACATACCATCTCCATCACAATCTTCTCTGCACGACTACAGTGACTCCCTTTGAGCTTTGATCTATACCACTACCTCTTTGAGCACTCATATATTAAAATATTATACTCGTGGACAGATTGACTAAGTCTGCCCATTTTTTTACTGTGAAGGTGAGCTTCATTACAGAGCAGTTGGCCAAACTATATATTCGCAAGATTGTGAGGCTTCACGGGATATCCGAGAATATCATCAATGATAGGGACCCAAAGTTCACATCTCAGTTCTGTTAAGAGATACCGTCCTAATTCTGAATCCACAACGGTTACAATTTGAGAATGTAAAATAGCTCTTCAAAAACTATTATGCCAGAGCTGTTTAGAATCGACCCTCACTACTATTCTCGTAAATGGAAAAGTCTTATGCATTTAGATTTTTCATTTTACTTGGAATAATGAGGGTCTAATTGTTTCCATAGTTTCGGGTGTATGTATTTAGCATGGAAAGGGAGTAGCAGATGCACAAGTGGAGGTGGAATCAACATGATAGGGTGATTAGCCAGCGGAGTCTTTGGACTGAGGTTAACATCCTCACAAATTGCACTTAAAGGAAAGATTGTAAGATTCTCGATTCTGTGGATGGGAAAACAATTGAATAAATTTGTGTTGCCAAAAAGACTTAAACTTCATACGGTCTCAAAGAAATTGTCTAGCTACTTTTTTTTTTTTTTTTTTTTTCCAATTATGGAAGAGTTAAAGAAAATAATCTTGGAAAATATTAAAGGGTTTCAATTTTGGCACAATTGGCCAGTGTTAGCGTCGACAGATCAATGGAGGAAGATGGACGGGGCATGTGTATGTGCTCCGATTTATTCCTTTGTTCACTTTTCACAATTGATGGACGACAGAATGGTGCATCAAAGCTTGAGATAAATAGAATCCTCAATTGGTGGTTTCCAGTTTTTTTTCTTTAAAAAAAAAAAAAAAAAAAACAAAATGGAAGGGCCGTGGCCTGACGAATCTCGATTTTTTTAAGCAAAAGAATATGAAAGGAATATGTAATTCTTCCAACAACGATCTTCTGATTGGAGTACAATGGTAGGAAAGGGTTTCTTTTTTGTTTTTGTCCCATAAACAAATAAGTAAGTGCACAAAATCCTTGTTTATTGCCGTTTCTCACTCTTACTTTTAGGTTTAATGTTAGTATAAAATATCAATTGTCAAATGGAAGAGACTAGAGAGGCTTAGTCCCATAGATCTTGGGAGTTAGCACCGAAGACTTGGTTCATTCAATTAAAGTGTTTTTTTTTTTATAAACCAGAGTTATCCTATATCGAAGGCAATTTTATTGGGGCCGTATATAAATAAGACTTTAAATTTCTCTAAAAAAATAAGGGTATAAATAATAGGCTAGATTGGTTTAGAGAGACTTTCGATTAAATTAGACCTATTACAAATATTCAAATAGAACCGATCTAGATTTTAATAAAAATCTATTTAGAAAATAGGTCATAGGCTTTTTTATGCATGTCGAGCCTATAAGACTACATGTTGGCATCTATCATATTATTTATATGAAATTAAAAATAAAATTATTATTTTATTAATTTTGAATAATAAAATAATATTTTTTTATTTATTTTTTTAATTATAAAAATTTTAATAGGCTTAAACAGACTAACAAACCTACGCAAATGATTTTATTTTTTTAAATATAGGTTAAATCAGATTTGTAATTTGAGCTTACAAAGGCTAACAGGTCATGCTAGACCTAAGTTTTTTTATACAAACCTGACTTATTTAAGCCAAAGCCTAACCTAACCTATTTATACTCTTAGAATATACTGTATGTTTTCTGTTTTTGAACATAATTTTTTATTTTCAAGTATTAAAATATAAAATAAAACATGTTTAAGTACATGTTTTTCTCTGATTATTTTGAAAATTAATTTTTCATATTTTATTTTTAGAATTAAAAAACACATTTTAATTGTTTTTTTTTTTTCATTGATTCCTTACTCTCACTTTAAATTACTATCGTTACAAAAGTTGCCAGAGTCGCCATGGCCAGAGCTGTTGCCGGAGTGACCATCATTGTCACCGGAATATCATTAAATTTTTAAAATTTACTTACAAATAAAATTTATCAAATAATTTTTTTAATATTTTTATTCTATAAAAATTCTAAAAAATTATGAAATCGTTTATTAATTTTTTGTAAAGAACAAAGTCAAATAAGTCCTTTGTCTTTTTTTTTTTTTTTAAATTCACCTAAAGTCTTTGAAGTCTAACAAATTGCAAATATAGTTGATTCAGCCACTAATGATTGAAATGTTTAATTTGTGAAGTAGAAGGTCGATTTCCTATAGGAGCAATTTATTTTTAATTGATTATCTATAAATATTACTGCAATTTTTTTTTTGGTAAAAAATATTACTGCAAATTTATTATTAAAGTTTGTAACACATGCATTTTGACTTTAAAACATATTAATCTTTCTTTTTGTAAACTTTTTACTTTAAAAAAAAAAAAAAAACCCCAAACTAGGCATGTATTGCCAAGACCTGAATTGAGTCTTCTTTTAAAAGTAACGGTTGAGAAAGATTTCGGTTCTTTTACGTTTTAAATATGACAGTGTTATCAAAAAAAAATATATATATATATATATATATATATATATATATACAAAAAAAATATATTTACGTTTTAAATATATACAAAAAAAAAATATGACAGTGTTATGTTATCAAAGTGAAAAGCACAAATTTTTTATATAAAATAACTAACCATTATCTTCATCAATTTTGCACAACAGCAATTTTTTTTTTGTATAATATGATATGGTCGGGTTTTTAAAAGAAATTAGTACTCTAACCCTGTTATGCACAGAATTTTTTTTATAAACAAATAATTTATTAGACATAATTATTCTAATAAATTGATTAAATTCACTTCAAAGCATTTATACTGATGCAACTCAATTCATTCAATTAGACAAATATTAATGAATATTTACAATCTAATTAAAATGAGATTAAGAGATTAATATTTTTACCAAAGAAAATCAATACTTTTTTAGGAAATAGTTAAAAAGAAATAAAGCTAAAACATTTGGAAATTAAGTAATAAACAATAGTAAATGCAAATCTGTTTTTTTTTTAAATGTTTGATTGGTAAATGTAATTTTATATGTATTAAGCTTAAATTGATTTAAAATCTAAACTTTTAAAATGTAAATAGTCTTTATGGGATGAATACTTGAGAATGAAATCAAAATATGGTAGTCAAATGACTTCAATAAACCTAAGCGGAGAGAATAGATTGAGTTTTAAAACTTTTTGAATTGGTACCCACCAAATTAACTATAAATGAAATACTGTCCAAAATTGTACGTATTCAAGTTCACTTCAATTCACATGCAAGTCAGAATTCAACAAAAAATAGAACAAAAAGCACTCTAGAATTGATTCACACTACAAAAAAATTATGTCATTTGTGGAGGTTATTTACTGGAGGTCAATAAAACCTCCAGAAAATATTTAAATTCTAGCATTTTTGCTGAACGCTACTTTGCAAATTTTTTTTTTTTAATTTACATAAAGTGGGGTTTTGACCGCCAGAATTTATATAATTTATTTAAAAATTTTGAATTTTTTATTGTTGTTATTTGATGACCGCTACAACTTGTTATATATGTATATGTTAATTTTTTTTTTGTTTTCCTCAAACCCTAACACACTGACTTTTAAGCCCCACCTTTCTAACACCTAGCTTCTTCTTCTTATTCTGTCTCGAAAGTGTATTTCCTCCATCGTTATAATCATGGTGAGACATTTGTGGTGAGCTTTATCATCTCTATCTTTGAAGCGTATCTCTTAAGATGCATCACCAGATCTGCACTAAGGCGTTTTCTTCATCATTTTTTTCGAGGGAACTAACAACATAGTTGTCTTCTTCTTCGCGCTCTCATTTCAAGCATTGTGGTGAGTTTTTTAGCTCTTTTCTTTAAAATTTTCATTTTAGGATTTTTTTTCTTTGTAATTTATATTTATATTTTGCATTTTTTTAGATTTTGTCAGATACGTTCTCTCGTTGGGGTTGAAGGTGTCGATTGTGCCATTTTAATCTGAGTCTTTAAATCAGGTATCTATTTTTTTATCTTTTCATATATGGATTTTTTAAGTGTTGATTTGTGGGGGGACTCCCCGATGAGTTACTAGTAGCTTAATGATTTGTGCTTGTGCGGAACAATGGGTTCGATGTTCAAGTGGTTTCTTCTTTATTGTTTGGGGTGATGCAAAAAACAATTGCAGAAGCTATTCCTCTATTGTTGGTTGCATGTGGCATTTTCCGTTGCTTAAACTCACAGAATGGAGCGGATCTTGTCACGATCTATGCATTCTACCTTGAAACTACAAATCTATCGTCTTTTGGCTTCTTATAATGAAGATAATTCTGATATTCTTTTTTTGTTGCTAATAGATAATTGTGTTTTCTTAGGACTTCTTATTGGTATTATGGTGTGGCTTTTCTCATTGCATTATCATATATATTTCACTTCTCCATCACTTATGTGTTTATCCCTACAACAAAATTACAAATAGTATACAACATTGCCACTTGATAGAATTCATTTAGTGGTTGAAGTCAGAGGGTGTAATATCAAATTATGAAACGTAGTGTTTTTACTTACAATTTTTGAGTTAACTTATTTTCTGAAGTCAACTTGTAAATAAAAGGCTTTCACGTTAGTTTCAAATATTATGTATGGCAGAACTTAAGAAAGAAAAGCTGTATCAGATTACTCTTTGTATTGTTTTCTTTTATTTACTCTTTGTAAATAAAAGGCTTTCACATTAGTTTCAAACATTATTCTTTATAAAAGGAAACTATAAAGAACTTTCTCTTAGCAGCTTTTTAGAACAAACTTGTCAAAATATATTATGGAGTTGAGGATGGACACAAAATGTTCTTTTGCTGATCAATGGGTTATTCAAAGCATCTTGGGGCTGAAATACTTGTGTAGGTGGGGGTGCAGTTGCAGTTAAACAATTTTATGGGTTCCCCCACTGCATTTTTCATTTATTAACATCTTGGTAGCTAAATATGGAAATTACCCAAAATCTAGACCAAGTGGTAGTTTTAATTTGTCTAGGAGTTTGTCACACCAAGTTCGCAACCGTTTATTAACTAATGTATCAAATTGATCATTAAAATGGAATATGAATCCAAATGAAACTAACTAGACAAAACCACCGTAGGAGGAGGGAATGGTTATCGATTAATTTATGTGATCGACTTTCAATTCAAACATTTGATTCTGTCCATAGTAACTATATGCTTTTTGCATGCCTTCCCATGTAAGAATCTCAGAGTAGTGTCGGGTTGGTGGTTATGTTCTGAAGTCACGGCTCAGATTTGTATATAGCAATCCATAATAATAACCTCAAATTTGCCTTGTCAAGCACGGGAAAATTCTATATCATTGGTAGGATTGGTGTTGATCACTTAGAGAAGCTAACATTTGGTGAAGAGTTTGATCTCAAGACCAGAAAATGGCGTGAGATCCCCAACATGTTCCCAAGAGCTGGGGGGGCTGCGAGGTGCGGTACTACTGAGGCACCGCCTTTGGTTGCTGTGGTGAACAATAGTTTGTATTTAGCAGATTATGCACTGCAGGAAGTAAGGAGATATGATAAAGGCAGGAACTCATGGGTCACCATTGGAAGACTTCCTGAGGGAGCAAGTTCAATGAATGGCTGGGGATTAGCTTTTCGGGCATGTGGAGATAGGTTGATTGTTATTGGTGGTCCTACTTGTTATGGTGTAGGGGCGATTGATATTAATGCTTGTGTCCCAAAAGAAGGTGCGGTACAGTGGAACCTGCTTGCCAGAAGGCAATCAGGAACCTTTATATATAACTATGCGGTGATGGGATGTTAAGGTGATTGTTTTTGGCTCATGGGAGGATATCTGTCTGCACTCTCTTTTGGGGGAAATTTCAGGTCCAATTTAAAATCATTGATATAGTTTTAGAAGGTTTACAGATGGTTGATGTTCTCTTCTTTTTCCTTTTTTTAAATGGTCTGGTATATGTTGGGTTATGATGTCCATTCATAAATTTAGAACCTTTGTTATGTACCAAGGGCTTTGGACAGACAAGCATTTCTTAAAGTGATTAGGGAAGATGCTAAGCACATATTCATTGGTATCAATTAGCAATTGCTAACTTCTATTAGTAAAAGATTGGATTGGTATCAATTAGTCTCAATTAATATCAATTAATATTTGTTAGATTCCATTAATAAAATATTGGTATCAATTAGTCCAAATCAATATCGATCACCTTGTTAGTATTTCAAATCCATGTAATTATACTTTTATAAAACCTGCGATGGCTATATGGAATGACCAATCAATTAACTTATTCCAATCATTCTCTCTCTCCCACTTCTTTTCTATCTTTTCTCTCAGGAACTCTGTCATTCAACAATTACCCTTAACAACCTTGCAAATGTAGAAGCAGATATGTTAGGTGAGAGCCGTCTCAGATCCCCCCACACCTTAGTCCAAATATGATACTAACCGTGTCATGGCATAAATGCATAATCAAAAGCTTTTGTTTGCAGACTTATTGCAATCATTTTTTTTACAAGCAACAAGGATGAAGTTGTCAAATTTCAAAGCAATTATAGGTACCTGAGCAGATTTATTGAGCTGAAGAAGTGTGCAAAATCTTGGCATATAAACTACTATAGAATTGCTATTAATAGGCTGACTTAGCTGTAAAACTCCCAGTATCTTGATGTATTTCCCAATTTCCTTTTGTGGCACATTAGCTGCAATTGAAATTTCTTGTCGTATCACAAGAGATGAAATTTTAGACTATTAGAGGTGTCCTAAATCTAAAGTCTAAACTAAAGAGAATGGCTACCCCCACACAAGAAGCAAGTGCAATGTGTAATTTTTTTTTACAAACAAAGCATGGACTCAGTTTCAGGCTTTCTGCTATCCAAGCAAGTTTAGGAAATACAGTCATTACCTTATTTAGAGGAGAGTTGGTCCTTGCTAACGTCATTACCTTATTTATGTCTATAGGAACTCTAATTTGACTATGCATCTATGCTGTATTTTTCTCCCTATTTCCCTATTGATTCAAAATCAGTCAAATTATTCAGATAAGCTTCAATAAATAGGGAGAGTCAAATTTCTCTCTCTAAATAAGGTAATGAATGTATTGCCTAAACTTGCTTGGATAGCAGAAAACCTGAAACTGAGTCCATGCTTAGTTTGAAAAAAAAAGTACACGTTGCACTTGCTTCTTGTGTTAGGGTAGTCGTTCTCTTTAGTTTAGACTTTAGATTTAGGACGTCTCTAATAGTCTAAAATTTCATCTCTTGTGATACGACAAGAAATTTCAATTGCAGGTAATGTGCCACAAAAGGAAATTGGGAAATACATCAAGATACTGGGAGAAGATTTATAGCTAAGTCAGCCTATTAACAGCAATTCTATAGCAGTTTATATGCCAAGATTTTTCACACTTCTTCAGCTCAATAAATTTGCTCAGGTACTTAGAAATGCTTTGAAATTTGACAGCTTCATCCTCATTGCTTATAAAAAAAAAAAAATTGATTGCAATGAGTCTGCAAACAAAAGCTTTTGATTATGCATTTATGCCATGACACGGTTAGTAACATATTTTGACTAAGGTGTGGGGGGGGGGATCTGAGACGGATCTCACCTAACATATCTGCTCCTACATTTGCAAGGTTATTAAGGGTAATTGTTGAATGATAGAGTTCCTGAGAGAAAAGATAGAGAAGAAGTGGGAGAGAGAGAATGATTGGAATAAGTTAGTTGATTGGTCATTCAATACAACCATCGCAGGTTTTATAAAAGCATATTACAGGGATTTGAAATACAGACAAGGTGATCAATACTGATTTGGACTAATTGATACCAATATTTTATTAATGGAATCTAACAAATATTAATTGATATTAATTGGGACTAATTGATACCAATCCAATCTTTTACTAATGGAAGTTAGCAATTGCTAATTGATACCAATGAATATGTGCTTAGCATCTTCCCTATCCACTTTAAGAAATGCTTGTCTGTCCAAAGCCCTTGGTGCATAACAAAGGTTCTAAATTTATGAAATGGACATCATAACCCAACATATACCAGACCAATTAAAAAAAGGAAAAAGAAGAGAACATCAACCATCTGTAAACCTTCTAAAACTATTTCAATAATTTTAAATTGAACCTGAAATTTCCCCCAAAAGATAGTGCAGAAAGATATCACCCCATGAGCCAAAAACAATCACCTTAACATCCCATCACCGCACAGTTATATACAAAGGTTCCTGATTGCCTTCTGGCAAGCAGGTTCCACTGTACTGCACCTTCTTTTGGGACACAAGCATTAATATCGATCGCCCCTACACCATAACAAGTAGGACCACCAATAACAATCAGCCTATCTCCACATGCCCGAAAAGCTAATCCCCAGCCATTCATTGAACTTGCTCCCTCAGGAAGTCTTCCAATGGTGACCCATGAGTTCCTGCCTTTATCATATCTCCTTACTTCCTACAGTGCATAATCTGCTAAATACAAACTATTGTTCACCACAGAAACCAAAGGCGGTGCCTCAGTAGTACCGCACCTCGCAGCCCCCTCAGCTCTTGGGAACATGTTGGGGATTTCACGCCATTTTCTGGTCTTGAGATCAAACTCTTCACCACATGTTAGCTGCTCTAAGTGATCAACACCTATCCTACCAATGACATAGAATTTTCCCGTGCTTGACAAGGCAAATTTGAGGTTATTATTATGGATTGCTATATACAAATCTGAGCCTTGACTTCAGAACATAACCACCAACCCGACACTACTATGAGATTCTTACATGGGAAGGCATGCAAAGAGCATATAGTTACTACGGACATAATCAAATGTTTGAATTGAAAGTCGGTCACATAAATTAATCAATAACCATTCCCTCCTCTTACGGTGGTTTTGTCTAGTTAGTTCATTTGGATTCATATTCCATTTTAATGATCAATTTGATACATTAGTTAATAAACGATTGAGAACTTGGTGTGACAAACTCCTAGACAAATTAAAACTACCACTTGGTCTAGATTTTGGGCAATTGCCATATTTAGCTACCAAGATGTTAATAAATGAAAAATGCAGTAGGGGAACCCATAAAATTGTTTAACTGCAACTGCACCCCCACCTACACAAGTAGGTCAGCCCCAAGATGCTTTGAATAACCCATTGATCAGCAAAAGAACATTTTGTGTCCATCCTCAACATCATAATATATTTTGACAAGTTTGTTCTAAAAAGCTGCTAAGAGAAAGTTCTTCATAGTTTTCTTTTATAAAGAATAATGTTTGAAACTATCGTGAAAGCCTTTTATTTATAAAGAGTAAATTAAAGAAAACAATACAAAGAGTAATCTCATAACAGCTTTTCTTTCTTGAGTTCTGCCACACATAATATTTGAAACTAACGTGAAAGCCTTTTATTTACAAGTTGACTTCAGAAAATAAGTTAACTCAAAAATTGAAAGTGAAAACACTACGTTTCATAATTTGATATCACACCCTCTGACTTCAACCACTAAATGAATTCTATCAAGTGGCAATGTTGTATACTATTTGTAATTTTGTTGTAGGGATAAACATATAAGTGATGGAGAAGTGAAATATATATGATAATGCAATGAGAAAAGCCACACCATAATACCAATAAGAAGTCCTAAGAAAACACAATTATCTATTAGAAGCAAAACAAAAATATCAGAATTATCTCCATAAGGGAATTAGTGAAGACACAACAATGTAATAACAAAAAAAGAATATCATAATTATCTTCATTATAAGAAGCCAAAAGACGATAGATTTGTAGTTTCAAGGTAGAATGCATAGATCATGACAAGATCTGCTCTATTCTGTGAGTTTAAGCAACGAAAAATGCTATATGCAACCAACAATAGAGGAATAGCTTCTGCAATTATGTTTTGCATCACCCCAAACAATAGAGAACAAACCACTTGAACACCGAACCCATTGTTCCACACAAGCGCAAAATCATTAAGCTACTAGTAACACATCGGGGAGTCCCCCCACAAATCAACACTTAAAAAATCCATATATGAAAAGGTAAAAAAACAGATACCTGATTTGAAGACTCAGATTAAAATGGCACAATTGACACCTTCAACCCCAACGAGAGAACGTATATGACAAAATCTAGAAAAATACAAAATATAAATATAAATTATAAAGAAAAAAATCCTAAAATGCAAATTTTAAAGAAAACAGCCAATAAACTCACCATAATGCTTGATATGAGAGCGCGAAGAAGAAGACAACTATGTTGTTAGTTCCCTCAAAAAAATGATGAAGAAAATGCCTTAATGCAGATCTGGTGATGCATCTTAGGAGATAGGGGTGTTCGCGGTCTAGATTGGATCGGTTTTGGAAGCAAAAGTCTTCTGATCCAATTCCTTCGATTTGATCATATAATCATCCATTCAGTATTAATTTTTTTTTCAAATCCGATCCGATCCAATCCAATTTTTTTCGGTTTGGATGGGATTGATTTTCGGTTTTTTGAAAATCCTAAAATTTGTTTCATGATTATTGTGCAAATAATATCTTTTGTATATATTGGTTTTTTAATTTTTTTTTCAAATACAAAAGTATTAGTAAACGATAATATATATATATATTTTTTGGTAATGAGATATGAAGCTACACAGAAAAAAATTTGTTGATGAGATATGACTAAGTTTTTTTGTTTTGTTTAGTTTATGGGTTAATGGATCTTGGGTTTAAATATTTTTAGGCTATGATTGAGGAAAGGCCCAAGTAAGTAGAGGGGAATTAATATATTGGATCGGTTTTCATCAGCCAATCC